ACATAAACATGAAAAATACAAAGAGAATCTGGATACTATATGCCATATTGTTGTCTTTAAATTGTTTAATTGCCGTGATAAGACTTACTGCTGCTAAAATACATTTGATTATAAATGCTGCTAAATTAATCCAACTTACACATTTTAAAAATGCTTTGACTTCAGAATTTAAGTCTAAGGACAGGCTACTTAAAAATTCATGTTTTGCTTGTATTTCCACAGAAAATGAAAAGCTGTAGATTCCTTCCAGACTAATATGGCTTGATCAAGCAAGACCCCCTAAAGTTGAGATGATACAGCCTTACAGACTACAAAAACAAGGACTTGGTCAGGTTTCTATGTTTTATCATGATTCCCTATGGCATGAACATTGACTCTAATCAGCAGGAAGCAATTTAGAAGGAACAACGCCCAAATCCCCAAATATTGTTTATAAATGTTTGTTTTCATTTAAATGGGGTTAGTTATAAATGATAATGAGCATAGTCAATCTCTTTTTAAAGACTAAAAAGGGGAATCGGATATAGGAATGAGTACTTTGCATTGGTATAGATTTTCATTTATTGATACAAGTTTAAGGTCAATTTTGTGATATGTATATGTCTCCTCTTGTTTAGGTATTGTGTTTATACAGATCTTTTACTTATAATAGTCATAACTTATAATTAGGTTAGTTAGGTTTTCTAGATTTACAAAGATGTATTTGAGATGGATAGGTATTTTTCAAACCTTTCAAAGTCCTACAGAAATATGGCATTTAAATGGTTTAGGGTTTTCTTGGCAGTGTGACACAACTGCTCCTGGCACCAATTATGTCAGAAAAGAGAATGGGCATCGAAGAAACTTGTTATAGAGTTTGCTTTCAACATGGCAAGATTAGCCATTTGGACAAGAAACTGCTCTTGCCTGGACTGTTTGTTGCTGTATAAACTGGACATGCAGGACCCACAAGAAAATGACTGCTGAACTTACAAGACAGTACTGAAGGGTTCCTGTTGAAATGGAGAAGTGTGCCAGACACACTATGGCCTATGGGCTGAAGATGGATGCCCCAACGTTACAGAGAAACTTTGGGTGACTGTCCAGGTAGTGAGATGTCTCTGTCAATTCTAGAGTTTATATATTATCCTTCTGTGGTCTTTGATAGAGTTGAAGATAGAGTTGGTTATAGCTTTCCTCAGTTATTATAAAAGATAAGTTATCTTTCTTTTTATTTAGACAGAAAATAGAAGATGATGGGGAATGTAATGTGTATGTTTATCTTATTGATTGTTAAATAAAATACTGTTTGGCCAATGAAACGGCAAGTTCGGCAGGACTAGGAGTCAAAGAGGATTCTGGGAAATGTAGTAGAGAAGTGCTGATCCAGGCAGGAAATGACATAGCAAGAAGACTCATATTTAAGCGAAGGAGAAACAGGAAGGGTCCCTTTTTCCCCTTCCTCCTCCAGCGGCAGGATATGATCCACCTGCAAGGAGGGATGCCAATAAGGCGTCTGATAAGATAAGTCTTATAACATATATAGATTTATGATAGTTAAGACTGAGCTAGCAGATGAGGAATCCTAGTCATTGGCCAAGCAGCTTTGAACCTAATACAAGTTTCTGTGTATTCATTTGGGCCCTAACTTGGGCAGGCGGCTGACGTAAAGCTCACACGTGGCGGTGGGGCTCAGGTGGCATTTGGCGGAAAGATTTGTCATAACAAAGCATAGAGAAGAAAACATCAAGCAACTATCTCTCAGTAAAGAGCAGTGATTTTAGAATGAGAAGTTTCTTCTCACCCAGAAAACAACTTAACTGACAAACTGTTTAAGTCATCCTCTCTCACACCTCTATACCTTTTGAATATATAAGTCCTCAAACTCAAGCATTTGGGGGCAAACTCAAGGCTATATATAATTTCCCCACACATAATCTGAAGAACTCAGCTTACACTTGTATATAGATACATAAAACATAAAGGAAAACAAGCGATGAGACTGATGAAAAATGGAGTTGATGAAGAGTCTGGCAAAGGGTGGGATGTGGGTGTTCTTTGTAATATTGTTAGTCTTGAAAATTGCTTGAAGTTGAAAGTATTTTCAAATAGAAAAGACAATTAAACATATGTACATCCTTCAAGGATACAACATGCTTTTCCATCTTTCCCTCTGGCCACCCCACCAGCCTCTATAACACACAAGAGCATAAAAAACAACACATAAGCACTAGCTCTTAGTAAAAAAGTCACACTGATGAAGACATCAACTAGCGTGAACAAAAGAAACTCAAAGAAAGCAACTAAGCTCCCAAACACCTATAATCTTGGCTTCTTTCAGAAAAACAAGTTGGGCTGGCATCGGTTAGCAGCAGGATGTGTAGCCACCACGTACAAGGCTCTGGGAGTTTCAGAAAGAGTGGCCTATGGAGTCAGAGAGACCCAGATTAAAATGCCAGCTCTGCTGCATGACTGGGTGACTTGGGAGGCAAGGACAGGTCGATCTCCATGAGTTCAAGGCCAGCCTGGTCTACAGAGCAGGTTCTAGAACAACCAGGGCTACACAGAGAAATCATGCGTCAAAATCCAAAAACTAAAAAACAATCAAAAAACCATATACTAACAATACTCCAAGGGAGTAAAAATTATCTGAACTCCTAAAGGTTATAAACTATGAACTATATTAATATTTTATTTATATTTTACAATAGTAGTTTCAATTATACCCAATTTTATAAAACTTTACAGTTTCTACAAGTTATCTTTTTCTAAGAAACAGTTCGTTATTTTATTAGACTAGCAACTGGACCTTGAAGCTAGTGTAAGTGTTCTGGCAAACAAAATCATTTGGCTTTGGGACTTTACAAAACCAGTAACTCTTACAACTTACAGCAAACAAAATCATTTGGCTTTGGGACTTTACAAAACCAGTAACTCTTACCACCCACCCCCTGTAAAAAGAAGACGAGTACAAACGAGCTCCAAGCTCACAGGACAGCAGCTGTGCTAGGACAGTTCCAGGACAGCAGGGGACCAGGGGCCCAGACTGAATTCAGAAGTAGAGAGTTGGCACACATTATTTCTGTTTTAAAACACAACTCAAAGCGAAGTTAAGTGCAAAGAAGTCAAGCCAAATACCTCTCATAGATAGTCTTTAGCGTCATCTGATCAGGGACACCTTCAGTCTCTTCCAAATACAGTATGAGCCACGAAGTTCGGTACGGCCACTGCTCTGTAAGGTTGATCCAGCTGGCTAGCCTGTCCCAGTTGAAAGTAATCTGATTGGCTCTTAGTAACCGTCCTTTAAGGAATATGTAAACATTTAAAAATTAGTAGGCATACTAAATAGAACATTTAGCATACTCACAAATAACTGATCTCTAGAATTTGAAAACTTTGCCATTTGGCTGTAATACAGACATAAATCTAGTTGGTTTCTAAAATCCAGATTTTAAAGATTCAGAGGGCATGGTGGCAGACACCAGTAACCATGGCACACAGGAGGCTGAAGTAGGATATGACAAGTCTGAGGCTAGCCTGAGCTACACAGTGAGTGCCTGTCTCAAAAACTAAACCAAGAAACAAAATAAAGCACCAAGGTGGTCCTCAGTGCTCTGATGTGACTGCTAAGCACTTCTCCTTGAACCTCAATGGGACCCACACATACCGGTGCCTCTTCGCTGTATGACATCATTGATCTCCCTTCTTCCTTACTTGGACGATCATGTAGGAAACTACCAACCCAGGTACAGTGTATCTAGAACTTGTTATTTGTACACTGAATAAAATGGCCCTGTTTGTAGTGTGCTCGGAGGACTAACTCAGCATTCTACCTCAGGGCATGCTCACTTATGGACAACTGCAATCTTCAAGCCTTCAGAGCCCAGGCTTCCTTCCACTGTACCTTCACACTCACCTTAACTTAACAGGACTACAAACTGAGGCTTGGTTTTTAATTGAAAACATTCCCAGTTTTATGGCATCATCAGTTCAGTCCATTTCTGGACTCCCATCTACTTGTCTGTCTGACAGACTCTAGCAGCAATTTTCTTTTCCCACTCTCTCATCATCCAGTTCTCCCCCTGCCTCACACCCTCACTCTCCCGAGTGTCCCGGCAGGTGGGGTCTGCTCTGCTGGACAGCTGACAGGATGTGACTCTTCCATCCCAGTGATCTATGTCACAGGTGTCTGCCAGCTATGGACGCCACAGACTTATTATAAACACTGAGGGTGGGGTAGAGCCCAGAACAAAACAGACAATACAGCTACAGCCTTCCTAAGAAGCACTCACACACTGTAACAGACAATAAATCCAATAAGCAAACAGAAATCTATGGGGAAACTGTGAACATTTAACTAAATGGGCAGGGGGGGCAGCAAAAATGAAAAGCTGAACACTAAAATAAATTTGACAATATACTTTTGTAGAAGGTTGAGTTTTTGTCTTTTTAAATATAGGGTCTCATGTTGCCCAGCTGGCCTTGGGCCAAATCCTTATCCTCCTGCCTCTACTTCCAGAGTGCTAGGATTAGATGTAAGCCTCCACATCCAACTTACTAAATTGCCCAGGCTGGCCATGAACTTGAGATCCTCCTGCTGTGCTGCAGGCCTGGCTTTTGCATCGATTATTTAAAGATATCAACTCAGGTCTGTTTCCAGTACCTGAAGATGTGTAAACAATCTAAATTCCTTACTGTGGATTCTGGAGCCATAAGGCCAAGGAGCTGCAACTCTTTAACACCACTTCCCTCTGCTCTCTAGTGCCCACGCCACCCTGGCTTGCACTCCAGCTGTTCTTGGGGTCCTACTCACAGCCTTTCACTGCTATTCCTTTGCTTAGAATGCTTCTCACAAGAAGTATGTAAAGTGAAGTTCTAATTTCATTCAGGTCTCTTATTCATTTACAATCGATCCCAGATCAATCAAACAAATCAGACAAAAAACCCTTGCTCGAGGTCTCCTATTCCAGAGAGTAGACGGACACGGGAGAGTAAGCGAGAGTGTTGTTAGCAGATGGCTTTCTGTGGAGCAGGATGAAGCAGGGAGAGGAGGAAGAGGAGCTGATTCATTTGAGAGGCAGGAAGGTCTCCTAGAAAAGCTGACACATAAGCTAAAAACTCAAGGAAGTGAGAAAGCTCACTGTCCATACAACTCAAGAATCCTTACAGGCCAAGTTAGTGACAACTGGTTGAGACAAAGCTGAGCTACAGGAACTGAAGTCAAGGGCAGCCCAGTGTTAAAGAACAAAAGGAAACAAATCCAGTAAGTGTAGAACTCAGGACACCAAAGTTGCTTCAAGAAGAAGCAACCAACACATTGTCATAGCTGCTTGTGGGGTCCAGATAAGGACTGGGACCTGGCCACTGCATGCTCCACGTGGAAGCCACTGGGGAACTGGAAGTGCAGTTGTGCTGAAGTCCTGAGAAGAAGGGCATTGGGGGATTTTGAAAGGACTGGTGAAAGAGTAGTATGAGAAAGGGCAGGGAACTCTATGCAGGAACTTTGCCAGGTACAGGGGCAGGCGCAGGGGCAAGGGCAAGGGCAGGGCAGAACCAGGAGAAGTCCCAGGGAGAGGAAGAATTTGAATGAGAGGTACACTGTCATGTTTACTGTTTCATTTCTACAACACCCAGACTAACTCTCAGCATAAGGACATATTGTTGAATGAGTGTGTCAGTGTTACTGAGAATATCAGGAAACAGTTCCACTGCCCAACCAGCATAGGAAGGTTGAAGTCTCATTTAAAGGGATTTAACTAAAAAAATGTTATATTAGCTATGACTCCACCTATAGACAGTTTATGTCATGAGCCCTAAACTTAGTATAAAGTGCAATTCCAGTTGGCAGAGTCACTGCTAGGAAACATCAGAAGGTACCAAGCAATACCATGAAAGGGAAGAAGCACGTTCTATAAGTTACACTGCAGGCATGTGTAAGAACTACCCTAATGCTAACCAGTCTCAGCAAAGAGCAACACCCACACAAATAATTCAGTCACAGCATCTCTCTCTCTCTCTCTCTCTTTTCTCTCTCTCTCTCTCTCTCTCTCTCTCTCTCTCTCTCTCTCTTTCTCTTTCTCAATAGGGTTTCTGTGTAGCCTTGGCTGTCCTGGAACGCACTCTGTAGATCAGGCTGGCCTCTGCCTTCTGAGTACTGGGATTAAAGGTGTGTGTGTGCCACAATCACCTCTATAATAATCTCCATTTCATTATGAACATTTTATTCAAAATATCATATAAAAACTAAAACAACATAGCAGTATATAAAAATCTGAATTTCATCACAAATATTAACTATGCTACTACATAAATTTACCCTAAATATAAAGCAAAAGACTTTCAAAATCATGAAATTTTAAGATAAAATTTATCTGATTATCTGACTGTCAACTACTACTGATGTCACAATGCTCTGTTAGCCTTGAAGCTTATTGTGGTGACAGGCATGAAACTCCATAGCAGGACATGAGTTCAATGCCTACTACCTCTAAATATATAAGTAAAATACAGCTTATTATCTATCACAGAACATGAGAAACAAAAGTCACCTGTCACAGAAACAATATTGAGTAATCGTCTCATGGTCTGAGGACTGATGTCACTGAACCAATCCTCAGTGACCAGCAGCTTCGTGAGATCAAAGGACATCTGCCGGGTGATGGTCCTCTGCATTTGTCTTCTGCGGTAAGTATCCTGAAACAGAACAAGAGAGTTACTGTACGCTTATGATAAGAACAACACAACACGCCGGGCGTTGGTGGCGCAAGCCTTTAATCCCAGCACTTGGGAGGCAGAGGTAGGAGGATCTCTGTGAGTTCGAGGCCAGCCTGGCCTCCAGAGCAAGTGCCAGGATAGGCTCCAAAGCTACACAAAGAAACCCTGT